AACACAACGAGTAGCTACTTACCTTAACACCCAATACAGCGTAAAAACCAATTGCAAGGTGCATATTTTAGATTTACTAATCTGCAGTAGAGTACTAGGATAATGTGGTGTCCGCATTTTTTTTTTTACTCACAAGTAATCATAATAGAGATTTCAATGCTATTTTGGCAACAGAACTAGAAAATGTTGGAAATTGAAGGCTGTGCCCTAAGTTTACCAGGGCCTTTAGGATACTCAGAGTAAATAGTGTGACCAAAATACCTCAGTATGTTGACAAAGGTTTGGTATCCCATAGCATGCGCAAGAGTTGTCTGAGCTGCGTATGGGAGTGGAGCAGGTGACGGAACGTGAGCTGGAGATGGCCAAGCGCTTAGAAGACTTCATCGTTTTAACTCAAGACCAGAATGCACAGCTACAGGCAGAGGTTCAGGATCTTCGTAATCTCTTGGCCATCCGTGAAGAACAACTAGCAAGTGCAACTTTCAGGTAAATAAAGCAATAAAAAGGCAAAATGTTTACATCTGCAAATACTGATAAGGCAGCTGGGGTCATGTCTCTGTATCTCCTTACTTGTTTGTGTAGACTTGGAGTCATAGAAGAGGAGCGGGAGGAAGATGAGAGGAAGCTGAACGTTGCAGTGGCTGCAGTAGAGCGCATGAATGTTTTGGTGAGTTATCACTGTGTTTTTATATATTTTTAAAAGTGCACATCATTCATTCTAGCTCGTGCATATGTTATAACTAACACTTGCATTTGTGTGTTTGTTAACAGGAGGAGCAGTTTGCTGGGTTGTTGAAAGATGTGCACCACCTCTATGCGGCTAATTCCGATGGCCTAAGACAGACTTACATCAATACCTGATGCAAGACAGGAAATACTCTGGTGTGGTGCGCTACAGAGTGCCATTGCGTAATGTCATTAGCTTTTGTCAGATTTTATGAGTTCACTGAGCTTGCATGGCTACCTGTCACAGTAAAACAGATACATTTTTACACAATTAAAACTCATTTGTCTATATTTCCGAGTTTAATATAAAGAATAGAGCTGCATAAGAGTTCTTCGACTGTGTTTTGCGGATTTTAGCAAATAAATTGTGCATAAAACAAATTTTGGATCACCGTTATTATTTTAACTTTGATACTTTAGTCACTGCAATGACTCAATGGCAAATAAGTGTCAAATATAAGTAAAAGGAAAAATATTCATTAAATTCTACATAGAAGTGTGTGGTTTTCATCTTGGTTTTGAACTGTTCGTTTGTTAATTTAAATTCCTTTTGTAACAAAAATAATTTGAATGACAAAAAAAATGTAATATGACGTAAATATCCTTATCTCATTCCTACTCTTGAATACTCTAGCCAGAGTAAAGGGAATCCTTGCCAACTAATTCATTCATTCTCCTTCGGCTACTTAGTCCCTTATTTATCAGGGGTCGGCACAGCGAAATGAACCAAGTATTCTAGCATATGTTTCTAATTCCAGCCGCAACCCATTACTGGGAAACACCCATACACTCATTTAAACAAACTCATACACTACAGCCAATTTAGTTCATCCAGTTCAGTTATAGCGCATGTCTTTGGACTGTGGGAGAAACTGAAGCACCCGGAGGAAACCCACAAGAACATGGGGAGAACATACAAACTCTACACAGCTGGGACTCGAACCAGCGACCTTCTTGTTGTGAGAAGACAATGCTAACCACTGAGCCACTGTGATTACCAACTCATAAATAACAATTACATTTTCACATGTGATACAACCACATAATCTTATATACTTATGAACTGGTGTGTGTTTAATGATTATTACACTTCGAACTACCATAGAGTTGCCTAAATATCTTCTTTTTCAGCTAAGTTCCTTTATTAATCTGGGGTCCCCACAGCGGAATGAACTGCCAACTTATCCAGCATGTTTTTTTATGCAGCGGATGCCCTTCCAGCTGCAACCCATCAACGGGAAACATCCACACACACTCATTCACATACATACACTATAGACAATTTTAGCTTACCCAATTCACCTATAGCGCATGTTTTTGGTCTTGTGGGGGGAAGTGGAGCACCCAGAGGAAACCCACGCGAACGCAGGGAGAACATGCAAACTCTACACAGAAACTCAGCCAGGGCTCGAACCAGCAACCTTCTTGCTGTGAGGTAACAGTGTTAACCACTGAGCCACCGTGTTGCCCTATTACCAACTCATATATAACAATTACATTTTCAGATGTGATACAACCACATGATCTTATACTTGAACTGGTGTGTGTTTTAATGATTATTACATTTCTAACTACCCTAGAGTTGCCTTAATTTTGGCTTGGATTTTTGTAGATTGAAGGGATGATTGAATGGTTTAAATGGTTTTTAGTATACCTTGGCTGTGCTCCATTTCTAAAAGCTCATCTCTGTGATATAATCCTTTTTAAAGGCTTTGTCCTGTTGAATAAGAGTGTAGAGGACCAATTCTGCATCATAAATTAAGCATAAAGCAGCATCACAGGAGTGAAAAGTGTCCATTAATTTTATATCCTTCATTCCATTATGGCCCTTTAAAGTGCCCAGTTTTGAGTGCTTCATTTTAAAACCTTTTAATGCAGAGATGCCCAAACTAGGACCCGTGGGCCAAAGTTAGTCCATGGTAACCTTTGATTTGGCCCACCATCCCTTTTGAGAAGAGAGGGAGATTAAAGGGGATGGTTTTGAGACTCAATTTAATCAATTCAAATTTAATGTAAACCTTTGCTTGCTTGCTTTATTCTTAAAATCAAACTGAAATTAAATGTTTCAATTAAAAAAAAATTAAATGTACATACCGTCAAACAACAAGACAGAGAATTTGGTAAGCAAATCAAGCCAATGCAGATTCTGCGTGACTAGTGTATTTAGCATTCAACAATTGTGTTATACATGTGACTGTTTATGATTTTATTGCAATACGTAATCATCTAAACAATTAAAAAAATAAAGTTATACTACATTCTATAATACAATTTAAAGTAATGTTTTATATTTATTTTGAAATATCATGAAATAGGAAATTTCCCATGGCAATTTTAATGTAAAATAGTTTGTTAGATTTATCTTCGGCCTACAGATCTCAACGGTATTTAGTTTTTGGCCCTTCACACGAAGACGTTTGGGCACCCCTGCTTTAATATGTTGGCCAAAGCTGTCCTCACTTTAAACTGCCCTGTAGATGTGAATTTGTCCTGTTTGGACTACCGCTGTCTCAAGTTTGTGCAAGTCACCTGCCTATGGATCATCAGTAAATGAGACGAAGCAAATACACAGAGATTTTAACAGTCTTGCCTATATGTGTAAACGTTAAATTGAACAGTACTTATGACCGTTTGCAAGTACTTCCCTTATAAAACAGCTTTTTTAATGTAAACTCTGAGATGGGATTAAACCAAACTAGCAGTTTATTCAGCATAGTGAAGCCTCTACTTGATTGGCCTACTTTTATAAATGGCCTCTAGACTCCTTCACGCTCCAGGAAATCTGAGGGCCCCCCAAATAAATACATTTAAGTATAAATTATACCTCTAAATAATATATAACATCCTTTTCTGTCATATTTTTTATGATGACTGTCTAAAAAAATAAATGTTTAATGTTTATTACATCTGCGCAACAATCATGGAGAAGTCCAGCAGTCAAATTAGGTAAAGATTTAGTTTTAAAAACTAAATATTTTATACATATCTTTTAGTTAGGAATTCGTTTTAAGAAAACAAATGATTTATAACGTTTTGCAAGATGCTTTACGTGTCATTATTTTACATTAGGACAAAATGTAGAAAGGGGTGATTGAGTGATATAAATAAAAAATAAAATCATTCATTCATTCATTTTCTTTTCAGCTTAGTCCCTTTATTAATCCGGGATCACCACAGCGAAATGAACCGCCAACTTATCCAGCAAGCTTTTGGACTCTTCCAGCCGCAACCCATCTCTGTAAAACATCCACACACACTTATACACTGTGGACAATTTAGCCTACCCAATTCACCTGTACCGCATGTCTTTGGACTGTGGGGGAAACCGGAGCACCCGGAGACCACCTCGAACGCAGGGAGAACATGCAAACTCTATACAGAAATGCCAACTGACCCAACCTAGGCTCGAACCAGCGACCTTCTTGCTGTGAGGTGACAGCACTACCTACTGCGCCACTGTGTCGCCCTGTCAAAATAAATCAATTAAAAATAAATAAAATAGAAAAGGTGCATTTCAGAACTTTTGGGCCCTATGACTGTGTTAATGATTAGTAAAATTCATTATTTAGTATTTAACCATTTGCAACTAATTTGCCAATTTGACTCAAAGTATTGTCAAGTTTTTTGCACATAAATTTAAAATAATTGTATTTCCTGTACATTAGCTTGTATGGATTGGGGTTTCCTCCCCGAAAATGCACTGTAAGCTAGCAATGCTAATCTTCCATTTTGGGAAATTTGGAAATACTAATTTTTCCATTTTATGAGGAAATTTGTGTGTCAAACACTGAATAGATAGACTACAAGAAAACCCACGGTTTTTGTTTTCCACCAAATATGGAACTGTCTGTTAAGCTATATTGTTTCATAATAAATCTGTCATATTACAGTATTTACAGGCTAAACGGCACAATAATGTTTTATAATATTATTGTGTAATATTATTAATAATATTTTATAATAATGTTTTGTAATATTTTACATAACTTACCTGCAGCTTACCCGTAAACTTATACATGCTGCTATTACAAGTTCATGTCTTCAAATTAAACATGAAATGAAAGTCTGCCAACATGGCCTTTGCGTTGTTCTTGCACATTCATTATAGTTGTGGTCTTGCAGATTCAATATAGTTGTGTAAGCAGTAAAGAAAAAGGGAAGAAGCTTTCACATTCATCCAAAACATCAAATAAATGAATAAGAATGAATCTATGATAATTGTGTTGTGACAGCAGTCACGCCTCTGTGATTCATTCGCCCTCACGTGGTGTTTTCCGAAAGTGGTATCGACTGCTTTTGCCTTGCAGCTCGACTGTGCTGTGTTGTTTAGAGTGGCTGGCTTTCCTACTGTAACAGAAACCTCGCAACTTAAAAGGTATGCTTTTTAGCATTATGTGTTTCTTCATTTTGTTTTTAATAGAACTGGCGACATGTAGCAGAACCGCCCGTATGTTTTGTGGCTTTACGTTACACACTCGTAACGCTTTTTGTACTTGCAGTGTGTGATCAGTTATTGCTCATGCTAGCTGCATGCGCGCGTCCATTGTGTTAAATGGCTGAAACTGACGCATGAAATGTTTCGAGATGGAAAGTTTGCTTTTGGTTCCTCATAATATTGCAACACTAACATCTCCTGTTGTGATTAAAGCTAATGACTGCGTATAAATTCAACCATTTAATATTATAGCCGAGACATGAGTGGCTGCACGTGCATTTGCAGTGTCACACTAAGATGTAAACATTGCTAAGAAAAGTGCAGTCATGAATCAAAATACTATAGTCGATCATGTTAATGCTTACCGAAGGTAAAACAGTACGTTTTGCTTTGGTTCTTTGATTTTATTTGGTGTTTTGTTAGAGGTATGTTTAATACATGTTTCCTAATAGGATGCAAACAATGTTATGCTAATGTAGAATTAACGTTAGCTGTAGTTACTATTACGTTTTGGTTACAGAAGCTTAAAGGGATAGTTTACCCCCCAAAATAAAATAAAAATTCTCGCAGTTTACTCACCGTCAAGTGGTTCCACAGCTTCAAGAGTGTCTGTTTCCTGTTGAACCTAAAAGCTGATATTCTGAAGAAAGCTGGAAACCAGTAACTATCAACTTCCATGGAAAACAAATGCTATTGAAGTCAATGATTCCAGTTTTATTCAGAATATTATCTTAAGAAGAAAGAAACTAAAACATCTTTGTGACAAGTAAAGGGAAGTAAACAACCAACAGAGCTTTTATTTTTGGTGGAACTACTGTATAACTTGAGTGTGTTTTTCCTCTTACCGACTGTTATTAGTTGTCTTTTCGTTTAAAATGTGGGTATTTAAAAAAAGACTGATCTACATGTGTTTAAACTTTATTATCTTTAAGATCCAGGAGTTTTCAGCCATGGAGAATACAGCCGTAGACACAGCAAAGACAAGCACAGCCACCTTTTCCAAAGAGCCTCTGGTGTCAGAAGTGCATAAAGACGAATCAGACTGTAAGTACATCAATGATTGAATTTACATAGTTGGCTATGATAGTTGGATATGGTATAATAAAGTACTTAAATATGCTAGAATACACAACAGTTTAATTCCTTGATTTTTGCCCCATTGCCTAAAGTTAGAGCCAGCCTGCAGATATTGAGAATTGACATATTGCACAGAAAACAGCATGCATGACAGAGACAGATGTTTTTTTTTACTTCATTTATTTTATTCAGTTAGAGGATACCAAACATGTTTCAATATCACTATGTTGTCTACATGCAACAAGTTGAACATAAATCCATAAAACATTTCCAAAAATCCAGCCTTTCCTCTTCACTGACTGCCCACAAACAATGTTTACTTTGGCCCAGCATCAAACATTGTATCTGCTTTATGTTGTCAACGTTAAGCTTAGAAGCCTTGTATTAAGATTTTATCTTATACCACAATTTAAAAACTTTCCAGTGGAATGCTTGTATTGGAGGGTTAGGTTAATCAAGCGTTTAATAATTAAACGGTGGCTGAAAATGGTATAGTAAAATTGCTATGCTGGATTTTACAAAATCAGTGCAAATAAGCGAACAGAGGCAAATTTCCACTGGATGGCCTTAATGACATGACTGTGAAGTGTTCACCTCAATTTCCGTCTTGAGTAAAAAATTAGCATGAGGCAAATAAACTAGAGTGAGTGGCACAATGGTATTTTTCTCTTTGCAGTTGGTCTGAACACAGCATTACTGTCTATGTTGTTCACAATCACTGAGGTAAAGAAGCCTCATAAGCAGATTCGGTAATGAGAAAGAGTAGGAATGGAGGGGTTTACGAAGAATAAGAGAAATCAAACCAATCATTTTGAGATTTTGACACATTAGCTAATTTTTGAATGTATGTTTGCCCTTGGTTGCTAATAAACCTTTTGCAGGCGAACTCAAAAACTCCCAAATATGAGCAACATTTTGCATAATATATGGCAAATAGGTGCCCTGGTATTTGTTTATATATGAAAAATCTATAAAACAGTATAAATGTTCACATTCCATACCAGGGCTCAACCATAAGTACTGCCCGGTGGCCCAGGGCTAGCGTGAGAGACGCTTGGGACAGTAGACAGGATCATTACTGGCCAGATTGGGACAGTGCTGCCTTGTCACTAACATCTATTTTGTCTGCGACTATTTGTCAATTGTGTGCATTTTAAGTTTGTGCTTTTTTGTCTTTAAACACCACCTTCTCTGTGATGCCGTAAACACCATATTGCTCTCCAGTTCCTCTTATCTGATTTGATGTTTTGAGCATGCTATTTTTTTCCGTAACCTGGTAACAGCCAGTACAGTGAAGAAACGGCAACATGGCGGCAACATCAAATTATAAGGCTAAAAGAAATGTTTTAAAACAATTTTTTAACGTCTTGGAAGCAAAAAAAAAAAAAAAAAGTAATGTTTTGCACAGTTTGCTGTCAGTTTGACAAGTCAGCCACCTTTTGTTAAAAAATTTCGAACCGCAATAAAATACCTCCACATTTTCCTCTGCTCTTTTTGTTTGCATATCACTTTTATTTAAAAAAAAAAATAAGTATTGAAATTCTAGATTCACAGACTTCAATTTTGACACATTATTTAAAATATGTGGCTAAAAAATAACTATTAAATTCCCTTTTTTTTTTGGTGGGGCCAGTGAAAATTTTGGCAGGGCAAGTAAAAACCTGAACCTCTGGCCCGATCGAACCAGTAGAAAAAAAGCTCTGAACCCGGCATACAGATATATTCACTTTATGCATTCTCACATTCTTACAGCAGGCATCCACAGTTGTGAGTTTTGTGGGACCAATTTTGAAACCAGACCTGGCCTCTCTAGTCATGCACGGTTTCATCTTCGGCAGCTGGGAGTGGCGGTGTCTGACAGCAGTGGAGCTCCTATAGACCTTCTGTCCAAGCTCATGAAGGAAAGAGGTGGAACTCTACCTAAGTTCAAAAAACAGGCCAAGCCTGTCAAAAAGTACAAACACAAGTCCCAGGTCAAGGCCAAGCCTGCTAAAAAAAGTAAACTTCCGTCCCACATCCTCAAAAAGAAACCTGGGCCCAAACTGAAGATTAAAATATCCAACATTGTAAAGAAGAAATATGCTCTTTCCTCATCGTCTGCCCCCTCTGCTGTAAAAGGATCACTGGCTGGTCTGACTTTCGCTGTAGGGAAGACTAGTAAAAAATCTTCAAAGAAGATTGTAGTGTCCAGTCCTGTGGCCTCGTCTCTTCCGAAGGCTCTTGAATCCAGAATTGGTGATAGCAGTCCATCTACCTCCCTCTCTCTGGCCTCCGCCAAACCCCTCTGGGCTCCTCAGGAAACAGACGCTCCACTTAATTTAAGTAAGTAACTGCAATAAAAAAAATGTTGGAACGTGTGTGGAAGTGGAATTAAATCTTGGACTTGCTAATTTTACCACTCTATAAAGCAAGCTAATTAAATCTTTGCGTGTAACATTAAAATAAACAAATTCTGAAATGCATTTTGTGCTTTTTCACCAGCAACTATGACGAATTCCACAAAGAGGGAAGACGTCCATGTGTGTGAATTATGTGGAGCGTGGTATGAGACTCGTAAAGGTCTATCCAGCCATGCACGGTCCCACCTCCGGCAGTTTGGCGTCCATTTGGACTCTAAAGGTGCTCCCATAGAATTGCTCCATAAAATTATCCAGAGCGAGGATTTCCAGGAAAAAGCCAGTGCTGGTCTGCTGGACATCCCAGACATTAAGGATCGCACTTCACTCACCTCTGTTCCTTCCACATCATCATCTACCAGCAAAAATCCATCTCCTTCCTCTTTGGTACTTAAAGGACTGACATCTATTCGTATAATACCTCCCTCAGTCAAAAAGCAGAAAACTTCTTTGGATGTTTCAGGGAACTTACTCAGCAAAAAAGCTCAATTTAAATCCACTGTCTCAGCCAAAAAGAAGAAGATTTCACAGGATTTTTCAGGGAACATGCCTCTCAGTGGCCAAACAGAACTAAAATCACCTTCAAGGAAGAAGAAAAAGCTCTCTCCAGATGTTTTGAGCATATTGCCTGTCAGTGGTAAAGCAGAATCGAAATCATCTCCACCAGCCAAAAAGCAGAAGGTTTCTGCAGATGTTTCAGAAGCATTGCCTCTCATTGAGAAAACAGAACTGAAATCAACTCCCTCAGTGAAGAAATGCAAGATTTCTTCAGATGCTTCAGCAAGTTTGTCCCTTGGCGATCAAGCAGAGTTTAAATCACGCTGTCATGGTGAGAAAATAATTATTAATGTAATATTATTTTTTGTAAAACTAAGGGTTTTCTAATGTTGGCAGAATGTTTGAAATAACCCAAATGACAAAAACTGGAAACTTTGAAATAGTTTTTTAAAAAGCAAAATGTAAATTTTATATTTAACTATATATATATATATATATATATATATATATATATATATATATATATTTTTTTTTTTTTATATATATAGATAATAATATAAGTCAGAATTATTAGCCCCCCTTTGAATTTTTTTTCAAATATTTTAAATATTTCCCAAATTATGTTTAACAGTCAGGAAATTTTCACAGTATGTCTGATAATATTTTATCTTCTGTAGAAAGTCTTATTTGTTTTATTTCGGCTAGAATAAAAGCAGTTTTTCCATTTTTAAAAAGCATTTTAAGGTCAAAATTATTAGCCCCTTTAAGCCAATTTTTTGGCGATAGTGGTTCGATAGCCTAGCTAAACTAATTAACCTAGTTAGGCTTTTAAATGTCACTTTAAGCTGTATAGAAGTCAAATATTATTTAGTCATCATGGCAAAGATAAAATAAATCAGTTATTAGAGATGAGTTATCAAAACATCGTTTAGAAATGTGTTGGAAAAAAAAAAAAATCTTCTCTCCGTTAGAGAGAGAGAGAGAGAGAGTGTGTGTGTGTGTGTGTGTGTGTGTGTGTGTGTGTGTGTGTGTGTGTGTGTGTGTCTGTGTGTGTGTCTGTGTGTGTGTGTGTGTGTGTGTGTGTGTGTGTGTGTGTGTGTGTGTATAAATATCATTATATAATTATTATATAATTATCATTATTTTGATTTATTTATTTATAATATTCAGCAAGGATGTCAATAACAGCTAAATGATGTTCTTATGAGATATTTTGTTTTTACAAAAATGTTAAGCACAACAAAAGTTTTCAAAATGTATAATAATATTAATTTCTTTCTTCATAAATGAGCACCAGATGAGTTTTTTTATTTATATTTTTTGATTGGTTTTTTGATTGGTTTTTGATAGATAGCATTACATTTACTTAAAGGCATAGTTCACCCAAAAAAAAAACTTCTGTCTTTGTTTACTCATGCTCTGGTTGTTCCAGACCTGTGTAAATTTCTTGGTTCTGCTAAACATAAAGAATTATGTTTGGAGAAATATACCAAAGATATACTCCCTCAATACCAAACAGATCTCGGTGTATATTCACTTAAGGGTGAAAGATCAAAAATCTTTTGTATTGTATTTAAGCTGTGGTTCTCACACTGCACTGCACTTTTTGTCTCCTTTGTCTGCCACACACTTTTCAAGTCTTTCAGGCTGTTAATGAGCTGAGGATGTGAATCAGGTGTGTTTAATAAAGGAGACATGGAAAATGTGCAGAGCTGGTGGTCCTCTTGCAATGTGATTGAGAAACACAGTTGAGACTTTATCTCTGGTCCTAACATACTTTTCTCTTTCGTCCTCCAAAGGTGAATCATCTAAAACTGTCAAATGTGATTTCTGTCATGAGAAATTTAAGAAGAGTCAGAGTTTAGCAAGTCACGCTCGCTATCACCTCCGGCAGCTCGGCATCACAGAGTGGTCTGTCAAGGGGTCTCCCATGGCTACCCTGCGAGAGGTGATGGCCCAACGGGCTGCTTCTGCAGGATCTCTCTCTACCCTGGAGCCGCCCTCACTGACTCCACTTTTATCTCCGTCTGCAACTCCCTCAGCACCCCCGCTTCTCTTAGCTCCTGAACCCCCTTCATCCTCCCCTCGTCCAGTTCCACACAAAGTTCCAAAGGCCAAGAAAGGTTTCAGGACTGTGAACCCCAAACCAAAAGACGAGCCTGTGGAGGTTGATGTCTCGAACATAGAGTCTTCAAAGTCACAAAGTGCACCCATCACACCTTTAACACCTCTGTCTGATTCAAACGCAGTCAAATCACCTGTGATTGGTGAGTACTAATGTGTTGCTTGGGTTTTTGCTTTCTTTTAAACACAATGTTGCAAATGTTTGTGTGATGGTTAGATTTCTGGTTAATTTGATCTTTTAGAAAGGTGCTATATGTAGCAACACTAGTGGATGTTTAGGGAACTGCAGCAAGCAAGCTATTACTTTCGCACCTGTCTGTATGTAATGTACAAGAAACTTGTGCTTGGTTCTTGCTTCTCAAAAAAACAACAGCAATTTAATAAAATATTTCTAATTGTATATAGACTATAGAGCAGTGGTCACCAAACTTGTTCCTGGAGGGCCGGTGTCCTGCAGATTTGAGCTCCAACCCTAATCAAACACACCTGAACAAGCTAATCAAGGTCTTACTAGGTGTACTTGAAACATCCAGGCAGGTGTGTTGAGGCAAGTTGGAGCTAAACCCTGTAGGGACACCGGCCCTCCAGGACCAGGATTGGTGACCCCTGCTATAGAGACACTCAGAAATTTGCCCGAATGGGATTTGTCTGAAAGTCAGGGAAGGTCGAATGTGTTTAAAGTTCCTGTTAACTTTTGTTATATTATGGAGCTAATAATATTCCAAAACAATCTAAATTGAATTGTGTTAAAGGTGCAGTAGGTGATCTTCCACAATGCTAACAGCTACCTTGCCGTCTAGAGCCATGGCTCCTGAAACAGGAGCACCACAAAAGAATGTGTTAAAAGCGACTAGTGCTTGTCCGGCGGCATGCAAGCCAAACTGACATGCTATATCAGAGCGAATATTTAGAGTTGCATGGTAAACAATATAGAGAGAGACTAGGCAGAATAGCGCTATTTACTTGTGTTTTGTTGTTAAACTAATTAAAATCTACGTCATTGATGCTGTAAAAGGTCCCTTATGAAACTGAAAATAGTCTTATAAATCTTTTATCGAAAGATTTTAGTAGCTGAACAACACTTCTGTGAAGATGTAACCCATTTGTAACATCTTAACGTTGCATCAGCTTTGTGTGAAGCTAAAACAGTTCTAAAACAGAACATTACCGTTCTAAGAGAAATCCTTCAGACATGGTGTCATCCTTTCTCCAGCGTGCAAAGGTAACTCCAATATTGATACAGGTTTTTAAAAAGTTTGATTCACCATGTTTTGACCGATCGCGCGCACATGCTCTCTCTCGGAGCTGCGTACAAACGGCTGCGCCATTGTTTAAATCTGCATTTGCTGACAGGTATTTTGGGCTACTTATCGGAATTATGAGAGATGTTGGTCCGACTCTATTTAATTGGATGAACATTTTTTTGTTTTCTGATCACAGTGTTCACAATGTTTGTTTCACACAGCCGCTAAAACTGAGAACCAGGAGCCCAAACAATTTGTATGCTGTGACTACTGTGGTGAGATGTTTGATACTCGTAAAGCTCTGTCCTGTCACGCACGTTCACACTTACGACAACTGGGAGCAAAGTGGTCCTTGAAGTTCCCACCCATAGAGGCGCTGCATGAGCTCATGAGGAGAGAGGGCACTGTACGGGCATCCCAAATCAAACCAGAATCTGCTTTAGGGGCGCCAGTGCAAATCAAGAAAAAGGCAATCACACCTCCAAAGTTAACTCTATCACCAGTGGAAAACAAGAAACCTGAAGACGGCGCAGGTACATTGATTTTTTTTTTTTATGAAAATATTTTTACTTGCATGATTATTTATAAGGCAGCATGGTGGCTTAGTGGTTAGAAATGTCGCCTCACAGCAAGAAGGTCGCAGGTTCAAGTCCAGCCTAGGCCAGTTGGAATTTCTGTGTGTAGTTTTCATGTTTTCTCTGTTCGCGCGTGGGTTTCCCCAGGGTGCTCCGGTTTCCCCCATAGTACAAAGACATGCGCTATAGGTGAATTGAATAAATTAAATTGACCGTAGAGTATAAGTGTGTATGGTTGTTTCCCAGTACTCGGTTGTTGCTGGAAGCTGCCTAAAACATATGCTGGAATAGTTGGCGGTAGGCTTGGGCGGTATTTTAAATTTTGATACCATTAAGTCTCCTCCCCATTTTACCTCGGTATCCGGTATTACCGTGCTTATCTAACAAAATGATGACGTAACGCTCGGACAGTGCCACCAAACTGTTGGCTTGTGCCTAAACCTTTCAGAAACTGAATACCGTATATGCAACCTTAGGTCAACTGTTTGTCCTGTTCATATTCTTCTGCGCGAGACGCTCTCTCTCATTCACACACACACACACACACGGACAGACAGAGAGAGACAGCACCAAGTGACGCACAGCACTATGCTCTCTCTCTCGATCTCAATTACATGCACACACATAGATAGAGAAAGAGAGAGCACCTCTCTCTCTCTCTCTCTCTCTCTCTCTCTCTCTCTCTCTCTCTCTCGATCACACACACATAGAGAAAGAGAGAGCACCAAGTGACACATAGTATCACACTATCTCTCATTCACACACACAAACAGCAAACATGCGCATGTGTGCGTGCTCGCTCGCTCGGGAGCAATATTGTTTAACCGCTCCCTTTCAAATTACACTAGTAACTGTTATTTTAGATCCTGCGGTATACCATATTACCGTATTACCGCCCAAGCCTAGTTGGCAGTTTATTCTGCTGTGTCAACCTCTGAAACAGAGACTAAGCTGAAGGAAAATTAATTGTGATTATTATTGATTATTTGTGAGTACAGAGTTAAATAACACTTCAAGTATATAATAAATAATTATAAGTTAAATAAGTTAAATTATAAGTTAAATAAACAAATAAATAAAGCATATTTTAAGTTTTTTGTAATTACCTATAGTTATTTTCTTGCAATATCTACTCATCTAAAACAATATTCTAAATTTGTGACTTTGTTAATGTCTCTTAAAGGCATAGTTAATTCCAAAATCTTCATCTTCCTGGTTTCTTTCTTCTGTTAAACACAAAACAAGTTGCTGAAGAATGTTGGAAAGCAGAAGCCATTGACATCCATAGCTAACAATACTGTGGAACTCTCAATCTTAATGACTTTTATTCTTCACTGTCTTTTCTTTCTGCTATAGGCTGTGATGCTACCTGTGAACTGTGTGGTTTTGATTTTGAGAACCGAAAGGCACTGGCCAGCCACGCAAGAGCCCATCTGAGGCAGCAGGGAGTGGACTGGAAGGTCCACGGTTCTCCTATTGAGACCCTAATGGCCTGGATGAAGAGTGAGCCGCAGAAAGTAGCAGAGCTCCACAAGAGTTACATGAGGGGCCAACTACCGTTTGTTAAAAAGGTGAGTCTTATCAATTTCTTTAGGGGTTTTTCACTTTCATTATGACAGGACAGTAGAGAATTCAGACAGGAAAGCTTTGGGAGCAGAGAGAGGGGAAGGATCAGCAAAGGACCTCGAGCCGAGAATCGAACTCTGGTCGCCGTGCGCATGTTGGTGCTAGATGTCAGCGCACAGTACTACTAGGCTACTGGCGCCAACACTGAACGAGGTTTTACACATCATTTACTAAAGAATGTAAAAAAAAAAAAAAAAGCCATTGAATTTACGAATTGCATCTGTGTATTAATGAATTTTTTTGAATTGACGAATTGGTTTGTGTATTTATGAATCATGTTTTGAATTAACAAATTAGATTTGTGCATATTATGAATTGTTTTAAATGTACGAATTGGGTTTGTGTATTTTTAAATATTGTTTTAAATTTACGAATTGAAATTGTGTATTTATAAATTGTGTTTTGAATTTACAAATTGGATTTGTGTTTTTGAATCGTGTTTTGAATTTACGAATTGGGTTTGTGTATTTGTATTGTGTTTTGAATTTACAAATTGTGTTTGTTTATTTTTGAATCGTTTTGAATTCACGAATTCATTTTGTGTATATTTTGAATCATGTTTTTAATGAATGCATTGGATTTGTGTGTTTTTGAATCGTGTTTTAAATTTACACATTGGATTTGTGTATATTATGAATTGGTTTGAATTTACGAATTAGGTGTGTGTGTTTTTGTATTGTGTTTTGAATGTGCACTGGATTTGTGTATATTATTAATTGTTTTAAATTTACACATTAGATTTGTGATTATTATTAATTGTTGTAAATTTAAGTATTGGACTTGTGTATTCATGAATATTGTTTTGAATTTAGGAATTTGATTTGTGTATTTATTAATCGTGTTTTAAAATTACGAATTGGATTTGAGTTTAATATGAATTGTTTTTAATTTACAAATTGAATTTGTGCATTTGTGCATCGTGTTTTAAATGTATTAATTGAGTTTGTGTGTTTATGAATCGTGTTTTAAATTTACAAATTTGATGTGTGTATATATGAATTGTGTTTTGAGCTTAAATTGGATTTTGTAAACGTGTATTTATGTGAATGTTGTGGATGTATGAATTATATTTTGTAAATATATTATTTTTTAGACTGATCTGGCTCAATACCTTATTGAATGTTTGATTGCTGGGAATTAATCTTCTCAAACCATCTCTGTTGCAGGTCCCCAGAAAAACCTCCACTCCATACTCATCCTCAGACTCTGAGTCTGTCCGTCTTGGTTCTCCCAAAGCTTCATCGAAAGACTCTGCAGGTCAGCCGCAGGTATCCCAGAATTCCAAAGCAGCAAGAGATGGCAAAGCAGGGATGAGCCACTATTCAACTCACAAAAAACGGCCTCCGTCAGATGAACTATCCTCAGACAGCCTTATCCAGTCTCCCACAGCCCGCAGTGAGCTGAACGTTCGTTTACCTCGAGGTAAAGGGATCTAAATTTAAAGCTTAAATGTACAATGCACTAATTGAGGTATTAAGTAAAAGAAAAAGAATATGTGCAGTGAAAGTCTCTGTTGTTGTCTTAGGCTTTGAACGGCGTCCTACAAAGCATTCATCCCACTCTGAGAGCAGATCTGGGGAAACAGAACCTTCAAAGCCTCCTCGGGTCGGAAACATTCCTTCTTTGGTGCCCAGACCACCAGAAACCAGCTTGGTGAAGCTGGTGGGCAAGATATACTCCCTCAAGTGCAGGTACGCGAAATACTACTACTATACTACTACTGTAGTACGTGAGGTACTATTATGAGCTTGCCTGTTTTCCTGCATGGATGTGGAGAAGAGCTGTCTAAGCAGGTTTAAAAATCAGTTCACAATGTTTATTTTCCTAGTGCACATTGTTACTCTTTACATCCACAATTAATCCATTCAAAAATAGTAGTAGTTTTTGGTAACGCTTAAGTAAAGGTCCATTAGTTAATGTTAGTTAAGGTATTTATTAACATAAACTATTAGTAATACATTTATAACGGTATTTAGTCACGCGAACGCTCCCGTTCAATCTGCCCAGTTGGTGGAATGAACTCCCTAACTGCATCAGAACGGCAGAGTCACTCGCTGTTTTCAAGAAACGACTAAACACTCAACTATTTAGTCTCCACTTCACTTCCTAATCTGCAATTGTCTCTCTGGATATACCACTAACTGCACTCAAAAAAAAAATACTAATACTTTCCTTCTTAGACTTTACTGACCTGAAACTTGCCTACAGCACTTATTCATTGTTGCTCTTATAGTTGTGTAAATTGCTTCCTTGTCCTCATTTGTAAGTCGCTTTGGGTAAAAGCGTCTGCTAAATGTAAATGTAAATGTTTGTTTACTTTATCTAATTTTAAGTTAAATAACTTTAGCTCATGTTAACTCACTTTGCATCAATAATATTAACAAGCACTACTTGATTAATAAATTGCTTTACATGATTAATCATACTTGGTTAATGTTAGTAAATGCTTCAACTAGCATTAATGAAACTTTATTTTAAAGCACAGGTGTCAAACTTTCTGGAGGGCTGTAACTCTGCACAGTTTAGTTCCAACCCTGATTAAACTAATTGAGTGCTTTTTGGTACCTACAGATAGGTGTGTTGAAGGAGAGCTGGAACTAAACTCTGCAGGGCTGCGGCCCTCCAGGAATTGAGCTTGACACCCGTTCTAAAGTGTTACCGAAGTTTGATTTGCTAATCTTCAACTAAGACTTTTCAATTCATTGAATACATCGAGCGAAGCTGTGATTGCCATGCACATCTTTTCAAGAAAGCATGGTGTGATTTGTTGTAAATCTCCAAATTTGATTTCATGCGTACTTTTTAAAGAATATATCTATGTAAAGACTGGAGTAATCTGTGAATGATTTGGCAGGTTCTGTGAGGAGGTTTTTCACGGGCCGCTCTCCATCCAGGAGGATTGGGTGATGCACCTCCAGCAGCACATCCTAAAGCTGAAGCAGGACTCCGGCTCATCAGCTCAGCCTCCTCTCAGCCAACCAGAAACACCGCTGCTCATCGGCCCTCAGGCAGTCTAGAGGCTCTTTCTCTACTGTAATCTTACGCAATGACACTACACTGACTTGAGTACAGCTTCATCATCTGGACCTTAATTGTCAACTGTGATGTTTCCTTTTATTCAAAGGTGATCAGTTTTATAGGACACTACTGAAAAATGTGGACCACAGCTTGTCCTACCTATCAAGCATTGCGAAGGCCGGTAGGTTTTTATCGTATTTTCATAACGCTACTACGTTTTGCTGGTTTCTTGATTAACAAGATTACAAGCCCGTTGTTTTATACTGTACTTAAAAGTTGCGATTAGTACTTAATGTGTCTAGTTTTAAAGAGCGTTTTATGAACACAAACTGTGGAGACCAGCAATTGGTCATCGAAAATAATATTATTTTTACTTTTAGTACTTAAAATTTTTATACACCATCCTACAGTGTCATTTTCAATGCCAAAAAAACAGATTTCTTTATATGTGTTCAGGAAATAGTTTCAGGATTTTTGCAGCATAAACAGAAACCAGCATTACAGAGCAGTCAGGTGACGTCAAGTGATCTTAGGTGAACGTTTACTGTCTTACTATAACAGATTTTTTCCCTATGTCTTCACGTGTAAAATGGGTCTACAGTTTGATACTATTACATGTTCTTGTGTGTTTACATGATGCTATTACATGTTCACTGTGATCTGGTGTCAGGTTGGAGTAGATGATGTTGTATTCTCTAGCGTCAGACCTTTCCAGAATGTTGTATGTGGAATTTATTTCCACATCTGTTGTTTTTTGTGTGATTTCTGATTTGTTTTCACCAATTTGCAGGCCTTTTAAGGTTTTAAGTAAAATCCAGTTCAAAATCCCTGTAGTGTTCTTGCGAAATAGTTTGGTACACGTTATTAAAACAACTTTTTATACCTGCGTTTGATTAATAAAGTCACACTGTAAGTCTTTTTACTGTAATGCGGGCCATTTATAGACTGTTTGACTGAATCTTTAGAATAATCAATTTAGCGTACGTCTCTTATATCTGAGACCAAAAAGAGTGATATTCCCAGAGCTGCTCTCGTTTTCCCATCTCGAGCTGTTTTTCACTTTTGAGCTCTGTTAATGTGATGTTCCTGCGTAAATGAAACCCTCCTGTTTGGGGAGTTTTGTCTGCTTCCTGCAGTGAGGAGTCTGTGTAAAGCAGCTGTGCTGACAGCTGTTCATTACAGGACATATAGACTGGGTCGACACATTTATGGAGCTCTTATGTGAATAAAGGGCCTTTTCAGGTGGAAGAGGAAGGGGAAATTGAGCACTTATACAACAGGCTGTTCTGCTAGGACAAACTCCGTTATTATGTGCTTCATATATGCTGTAAAAGACATCTTGTTTATTTGTAGTAAAACATATGACGCTGCATTCTTAAAATCCTTCAGATATTACATTAAATGACACTTTGGACCTGAAGTGGGGAAATATGATTTCTGGAAAGTTCTGCAATGACTTTTTAAAAACAAAACTGAAAAATCCTAAAACTGTCCAGCGCTATTGTTAGCAGATTGACCCAAGTGCTGTCTTCCTAAAACTATAATGCAGTGTTTTTCTAGTTTAGCCCGAGCCCCTCGTGTAGAGAGATCAATGTGAGCTACATAGAAGAAGTGGCTGAACTAGGTTGTAGTGAACAGATGTGAAGAGACCTTTTTTTTTTTTGAGAATTTAAAAGGCAATCTGAGCTATAGAACATTCTGGATGCAGTCGAGGAGAAATTCTGCAGATGTGTCCTCTGCACAAGCCATTAATCGTAATGAAGGAGTGAAAGTTCTATTGTTATTTACTCACCCTGGTGTTTTAATGCTGCAAGCCCTAAACAAACTAAACTTTAATAGCAACAAATACTTCTGAACAGTGTCTTTAGGTGTGATAAGCATACACTCAAAAATGATGGGTTGTTTCTTCAGACTACTTATTTAAAATAAGTTTGTTTTCAGGCAAATTAATCGTTTTATGTTTAATAACGGTCAGAATTATTAACCCCACTTTTAATATATTTTTAAAAATATTTCCTAAATGATGTTTAACAAAGCAAGGACATTTTCACAGTATGCCTGATAATATTTTTTCTTCTGAAGAAAGTCTTATTTGTTTTATTTCGGCTACTGAAAAAAGTGTTGCATGCAGAACTGTTGCAAACAATTTATTTGTGTTTAATTTAAACAAAATAAGTTGAGTAATGTTCAACTTAATTTGTTTGTTTAAATTCAACACAAATAAATTGTTTACAACCACTTAATGTAAAAAAAATTAGTAAATCCAAGGAATCATCTTTGAATATTTTTTTTCAGTGAAGCAGTTCTTAATTTTTAAAAGTAATTTTAAGGTCAATATTATTAGCCCCTTTAAGCTGTATATTTTTTCAGTTTTTTACAGAACAAACCACTACAATAACTTGCTTAATAACCCTAACTAGTTAACCTAATTAACCTAGTTATCCTTTAAATGTCACTTTAAGCTGTATAGAAGCGTCTTCTAGTAAAATATTATTTACTGTCATCATGGCAAAGATAAAATAAATCAGTGATTAGAAATGAGTTATTAAAACTATTATGTTTAGAAATGTGTTGGAAAAAAAATCGATTGTGTGGAACCCAGCATTTTTTACAGTGTAAGCAGATATATCACACACACACCTGAGGTTTAACAGACACAACATCAATAATTTCAGCTTATTTTCAGTCAACTTCACAGCTAAATCGGTTCCAAATCACTTCAAATATTAATACTGTAATTTGACAGTAAATAAATTTAAGCAAGACACAAAGCTTTGGATGAGATGACTAAGAAAGGGGGAGGGGGGCAACTTTTTGAGACAAGATAACTGTTTTATGTTCAATCCACTTAAATCTGTTAATAATTAAATTTATAAAATTTTTTGCTTTTTTTTTTTTTTTTTTTTTTTTTTTTTTGGCAATGTGGCAAATGTTTTGAAATATAACATCCGAACAATGTATTTAGGGGTGGTGACTGTGGTATGGGGAATATTTTCTTCACACACTTTGGGCCCATTAGTAGCAATTGACCATTGTGTCAATGCCACAGCCTACCTGAGTATTGTTGTTGACCATGTCCATTCCTTTATGACCACAGTGTACCATCTTCTGATGTCTACTTCCAGCAGGATAAAACGCCATGTCATAAAGCTTGAATCATCTCAGACTGGTTTCTTGAGCATAGTCCCTAGATCACAATCCAATAATAGAGCACTTTTGGGATGTGTTGAAATGGGAGATTCGCATCATGGATGTACAGTCAACTTATCTGCTGCAACTGCGTGATGCTATCATTTCAATGTGGACCAAAATCTCTGAGGGATATTTCCAGTACCTTGTTGAATCTATGCCATAAGGGATTAAGGCAGTTCTGAAAGCAAGAGGGGTCCAACCCGGTACTAGGATGGTGTACCTAACAAAAGGGAGTGTATGCGAGTATTGTGCAAATTATACATCAGCTATCAAGGGAGTAAAATTTTTTTTTCTTAAAAAAATGTTAGACTGTGTAAAACTAAGCATGCTTGAGTAAGCCAAATTCATACATTTCATTCAATGACATCTACTTTAATCAAACTTTTTTTTTTAATCAAAAAATAATAATAATCAGTGTCTTGATTTTTAATATAAAACAATTTAAAGGGATAGTTTACCCATAAATGAAAATGTACTCACTATTTACTTGAGTTTTAATTCTGCTGTACAAAATATTTTCTGAAGAAAGTTGAAAACCTGTATTCACTGACTTTCATAGTAGGAAAAACAAATACTATGGAAGTCAATGGATACTATTTTCAGACATTTTTTAAAGTAACATATTTTGTGTTCAACAGAAGACAGAAACTGACGGGTTTGTGACTGGTGAGTAAATGATGACATGCAAGATTGGTGAATTGAATAAACTAAATTGTCCATAGTGTATTTGTGTGTATGGGTGTTTCCCAATAATGAGTTGTGGCTGGAAGAGCATCCACGTGTAAAACATATTTTGGAATAGTTGGTGGTTCATTCCACTGTGGCGACCGCTGATAAATAAGGGACTAAGCGGAAGGAAAATGAATGAATGAATGAATGCGTGATGGACATTTGTTATGTTTATAAACTCTGCAGCTTGAATGACTAGTTAATAGATGTAAAATAAGCCGTTTGGAATCTTCAGTTAAATAATCAAATCATCAGATAAATGAATTTGGACAGCATTTTTCAGTGGGCTTGTCAGTTCTGACGTCCATTATCCTAGCACAGCGCAAAAGCCCACGTATCAGAGCCGAGCCAAACGCAAAGTCCTCAAGCCCTGAGAAAAGGGAGTCTAGTTAAAGCTGTGAGATGACAATATTGAGTTACAGTCTTTTTCTCAATTTAATCGAAGCCTGTAATCTTTGATAAATGATTTATACAGTTCAAGGTTTGGCAGCTCTGAACAGTTTCCTCACACAACTTGTGGCTTTGCAATCAGGGCTCAACGCCTCTCAGGAGCCATTTCTCATAGTAGATCAGCTCTTTTTTTTTTTTTTTCATATTCCATAAAATGCTGCTGTACAATGTTCTTCAAAAAAACCAATGTCCAATCAAAGGTCTCATGACATTAAAGTCTTTTAAATGTTAGTATCAGATGTTGAAAGGTGACTTTTAGCAACATATTTAATAGTTTGAAGTGATGAATTATCTGCTTGGTGTTGTAAATTGTGGCACAAAAACCTGGTAATTAACTGCCAGTACTGTTTTTTGTTATTCCACAGACTCAATTCTACATATATTATTTATTACACAGAACATTGTTTCAAGCTTCTGAAATGTCAAAAAAAGTGACTTTGTTGAACTGCAGTGCTTAATAATTTTATATCAACAGTTGACAGGTCCTATAATGCAAATTATAAAAGAAAAACACCCGTGACTCAAAAAAATACTGTATTAATATTTTTTACAGTGGAGATTAACCTGCAGTAACACAACATAAATTTAGATAATACAGTTGTGTTACTTTTGACCCACTAGTGCGTTATTTTCATCCATACTGACACGGTCAAAAGTAACACCGACTACTGTATGTTTACATGGACATTATTTGCCTTAATCCTAATAAGACAATAATATGATTAAGGTGTTTACATGAGTTGCTTTTTAAATGTTCCTTTCATGATCCTGTTTTACATGTTATAGCATATAATTAGATTAACATAATTGCGTCACAACACTATCCACATTTCCTCTGGAGTTTTATGTAATTTCGGATGTTTCATTTTTAGTTTGTCGACTTTAACTGCAGTTTGGCACTTTTACTTTCATTTAACAACATTTCATTCATGCCCCTGTGAGAAACTGTGGTATTGGATGTGAGTATGAAGTAAGGGCTAGTGTTTTAATGGAATTTGAAACCAAACACCGAATTGAAAGAAAACTTTTCTGCATTTCTCGATGCAGGTGTCTGTGGTTCTTTACTGACTCGATAGGTGGAGAGAATAGTGTCTAACAGCCGTGTGTGTATGGACTATCCTATCACAGAATGCAGTGAAAAGTCCTACACAACGGTAATAGTTTTATTGCAGTGTTTACATGTCTGTACTGCACTTTAATAATGCCACTAAAATCACCATACTCCACATGTCCTAATTCGATTTCTGATTAGTTATGACTTTAGTCGGATTAAGTTAATCAAAAATTTCTGTTTACATGGTAGACTCTTAATTTAGAGTATTATATTAATCGTATTAAATCGGGATTATTGGTGTTCATGTGAACATACTCAATGTGTAAATTGTGAAAGTTCTTGAACAGTTGCAGAAAATACCACCTGGTACAGATTGACACACACTGTAAAAATGCTGGCTTCCACACAATTCCTTCATGTTGTCCTAACACAAATGGGTTAGGAGCATACTCACACTATGCTATCCGATTTCCCGGATCATTTGAGAAGTGTGAGTGCTCTGAATCCAGCTCAGGCGCGGTTCACTTGGCCTGCCCTGGCCCGATTGGAAGAGGTGTACCAGAGCAGGGTTCACTTAGGCTCAGTATGCTTGTAGTGTTGAGTGCAAAGCACGCCTGAGGCCGAACCTGAAGATGAGATGTGACTTTTAAGGGACTGTTTCATATGGATTCATTAATCATTCTTACTGTTTAATGAACGCAAACTGTCTTAGGTTATTAAAGATGCAAACCCCTCACTGCATGACAGCTGCACCTTCAGCAAACCTCCTAATTCCTGCAGCACGAGGACTTTATGCTTACTTATGAGCGTCAAAAGTGGCGGATCTGTTCAGCAAAATATTTGACAGTGTGTCACTGCATCCCAAACGACGAAAAATATATAACGATATAAAGAAATCTTCTCTGTGCTGAGCAAGAGCACTTACTGAACGGCGCATCATTGATGACGTAAGCATGCTCAGGCCTAAATACGATGTGAGTGCGGGCCGTCAGGGGAGATGAGGGGGGGGGACAAGTTTGCTTCAGCCTGGTTCAAGGCAACTGTACATAGTGTGAGTACGCCCTAAGTTAACTCTACAAATTTCAGTGGTGTCACGGTCACACAAGGAAGACAAAGGAGGCTAAAACTTCAAGGGTGTTTATTCAAGCTTCGTGACAACAAAGGTAAGGTGAAGCAGGTGAATGGCGTTGAAGAGGGTGAGCGATCTCACACACAAACAGTTCAATGGATAAGCTCAGTACTTTGGTTATACGCCAGCATAAGAATACTCATTTCCCTTAAAAAGGTGGATTCACAGGAGGAGAATATTCACGGAGAAACATAGGAGAGAAGACCATGTGCCTTTGATTCCAGCCGATGACTGAGTGAGTGAGGTGAGTGCAGGTGCAGGTGATAAGTAATCAGGTGAGGGTTCACTGATGGTGAGGGAGGGCAGTGACTTGGACAGCAGGAACGAGCCATGGGTGTGACAAGTTGATTGAACATAAAACAATTAAGCTGTCTTAAAAATCTTTGGAATTGTGTTGGTTCAACTCATATTTCAGTAAATAAGTGGTTTGAACAAGTAGCAACAGTATGGTACATTTGTCCTGTTTTTTTCCCTTCCATGCATGTGATGTGTTTGTTATTTTGTATGTTTTCCACAAAAATCATCCTAATCAATTTAAAATCATTCATTTCTTACAAAAGAAGCTATTCCAGTCATCTAATGAAATTGTATGTGTGTGTTTTTGTTTCAATATTGTGCAGCCTTATTATTATTTTTTGTTTTAATGAAACCAAGTGAATCGTCATTGTTGTTGTAATGTTCATCTGCTCTCTGTTGGGGACAAAATGTTTCACCCCATCTTTGGTTTCCTCTGTTGATGACGCAGAGATTCTGTATTCGGAGTGGACTGTTATTTGACCCGGCCCAAATGCGGATCTATCTGAAGCAAAATACCACTGAAGCTCAGGTAAGATGATCTCAAAGTGAAGGACGTTTGTTGATGAATGGCTTAGCTCTGCTCAAAATGACTCTTGTTCCTGTATCTTGTAGATCAGGGAGAAGAATCGTGTACCTTATGTTCAGAAATGATGGATAGTGAATACTGTGAACAGTTCTCTCGTAACGTGACTGAACATCATGTTTCATGGATAGTTCACCCAAAAATGAAAATGTACAGGGGTTTTTTTCACACTCACTTTGTTCCAAACCTATTTTGAAGTAAGCTGGAAAGTGGTAACAGTTGATTTAGGAAAAACAAATACTATGGAAGTCAATAGCTATGTTTCATCCACATATTTTGATGCGCATTTTGGAATATTGTAAAAAATGGTACACATGCATTTTGTAAATGTGCATAACAAACACACAACTGAGTAGGATAAACATGTTATCCTGTAGGAAAAAATGTGCATAAACTACAGTGGAAACACATTTACTGAATAAATTCAAGCATGCACATTAAAAAGTCATGTTATTTGGTTTCAACAGATCATGTGATAAAAATGGGTGTGATAGGATAACATTAAAGGGGTCCTATTATGCCCCTTTTTACAAGATGCAAAATAAGTCTCTGATGTGCCTAGAGAGTGTGTGTATGTGAAGTTTCACCTCAAACTACCACACAAAAATGGTTTTATAACTCCTTGAAACTGACCCTTTTAGGCTTTGATCCTAATTGTGCCATTTTGTTGACTGTCGCTTTAAATTCAAATAAGATTGTGGCCACTTTTCAAAAGAGAGTGGAGCTAAAATGCCTGTGTGTCAGCATAGTGGCAGATTTAAAAACAAGACTAACGTCCTATAAAATAAGGAAGAGATCGTCACTAATGGGCAGGGCTTTCCTCCTTTGATGACACATTCAAAGGGAGAACGCCAATCAAAGTGTTTCACCACACAATTTTTTGATGAAGTGAGTTTACAAAGAGTAAAATTAATACATTTTTACTATTTGAAGCTGGTTATATTCACAGACTGTTGTTGTTACTGTACCATACATGAAATATACAAAAACACATTTGCAGTACTATCATAGATGTAATTACAATGTTATCATAATAATGTTATTACAATGTCATTACATAATAACTATAATGTAATAACATAGTTATTACATTCAAAATAAAAGTTTGTAATTGCATATATATATACTGCGTTTTATTAAGTATTAGTACACAAATACTGTACATGAAACAAAGACAGTTAAGTTAACAGTTAAGTTTATATACTATTATCTTGGATATAATTAAAATGTAATAAGATTGGTATGACATAGTAATTACAATGTAACGACAGTTATCACCTCCAAGATAAAAGTTTGTAATTATGTGTGTACTGTGTATATTTACGTACACAACTATAAATTGCCAAATACTGTACATGAAATATACAAAGAAACGTTTACATTATGAAATATTATCTTGGGTGTAATTACAATGTAATGGCATAGTAATTGCACAAAAGATAAAAGTTTGTATTAACATGTACTGTGTATATTTACTTATAAATACACAAATACGGTGCTTGAAATATACAAAGAAACGTGTTTATGAATATTATCTTGGATTTAGTTACAATGTAATTGCAATGTAATGACATAGTACTTACAATAAAAAGACAAAGTAATTGCACACAAGATAAGTTTGTAGTGTACTGTGTATATTTACGTATACTGTACAACTGTAAATAAACAAATGTACATGCAGTATACAAAGAAACATTTACTTTTATAAATATTAACTTGGATGTAACTACAATGTAATTACAATGTAACGATATAGTAGTTACATCTAATATAAAAGTTTCTAATTACATATTACATGTGTACTGTGTATATTGATTTATATAACTATAATTTATAAATACTGTACATGAAACATACATATTTACGGTGCTATCTTAGATGTAAATACAATGTTGTAACAATGTAATTACATAGTAACTACAATGTATTTACAAATTATAATGTAATTACATTCAAAATAAGTTTGTAATTACTTGTGTATATTTACGTATAATTGCACAAATACTGTACATGAAATATACAAAGAAACGTTTAAGTTTATGACGTATCTTGGATGTAATTACAATGTAATACGATTGTTATGACATAGTAATTACAATGTAATGATAGTTATTACCTCCAAGTTAAAAGTTTGTAATTACGTGTGTACTGTGTATATTTACGTATACAACTGTAAATAAACAAATGTACATGCAGTATTTAGTTACTTTTATAAATATTAACTTGGATGTAACTACAATGTATTTACAATGTAACAACATAGTAAATACATCTAACATAAAAGTTTGTTTATTACATATTAAATGTGTGCTGTGTATATTTATGTATATAACTATAATTTACAAATACTGTACATGAAATATACACATTTACAATACTATCTTAGATGCAAATGCAATGTTATAACAATGTAATACATAGTTATAATGTAACAACATAGTAATTAAATCCAAAATAAATTCAAAGAAACATTTACTTTTATAAATATTGACGTGGACGTAACTACAATGTAATTACAATGTAACAACATAGTAATTACATCTAAGATAAAAGTTTGTAATTGTTTATTACATGTGTACTGTGTATATGTATATAACTATAATTTACAAATACTGTACAAGAAATAATCTTAGAAAAGAAAAGAAATCTTAAATGTCAATACAATGTTATAACAATGTTGTAACCATGTAGTTACAATGTAATTACATAGTATTTATAATGTAATGACTATGTCATTACATCCAAAATAAAAGCTTGTAATTATATGTGTATATTTACATATAATTACACAAATACTGTACATGAAATATACAACGAAACATTTGAGTTAATAATTATTGTCTTGGATGTATTACAATGTAATAGCATTGTAATGACATAGAAATTGCAATGTAATGACACAGTAATTATATCCAAGATAAACGTTTGTAATTGCATAATACATTCATGGTTATTGTTCACATTTAAGTGTAAACTATAAATACACACTGCACATGAAATATACAAAGAAACACATTGATAAATATTATCTGGGATGTAATTACAATGTAATAGCTATGTAATTACATTACCTGTATATTGTGTATATTTATGTAAATAACTATAAATACACAAATACAGTACATTGATAACTTGCTTTTATGCAGTTCATATTTGCGGTCTCGCAGATTCTTTTAGTGCATTGTCTTCTCTTAACATACACTGCAAATTACCACTTTGTCCTTCCTTTGGGAGAAAATAACTCCATTTGTCACTAACTCTGACCTTACATGCATTGCAGACATTTAACTTGTTATATTAATACACTCTAAAGTAAATACAATCTCTGAAAAAATGCATAACAAGAGCATTTTAAGTGACAATTTTACTCTAAAATCATTTTTGTCTAAAAACCAAAATATAATCACTATTTTAGTCTTCTATTGAACACAATAGGTATTTTAAAGAAGGCTGAAAACATGTAACCATTGAATTCCATAATAGGAAAAAAATAAAACGTCAATGGTTACCATACCTGTTAACATTGGTATGTGAAAATAAGGGATATGGCCAACATAATAAGGGATCAGGATCCCCTGCCCATAGCCCCCCTGTTATTATTATTATTTTGTTTATATCTGTTTAAACACACACCCAAAAGCCAGACTTTTTTCTCTCCGCTTTAAATCGCGTGTACAGAATCCGTTTGGGAAACAGCATCTGTTTATCACTATGGAGCACATCAGCTGACAGTCATGCACCATTATATTTTGAGGATTGTATAGAATTCGCGCCGTTATTAATATTTACTTATAAGTGTTTTCATTCCTAAACAAAGCGAAAGCACAGAAGACTCACGTTTCAGAGCTATGGGTGACACCTGGTGGTTCGGCGGTATGGGTTGGGTATAGGGAGGCTCGGCTGTTCTAAGAAAGACTGAAAATACGGGAGAAATACAGGAAAATACCTTTACGGGATGATAGCGGGATAGAACAGTAAAATACGGGAGAATCCTGGGAAAAACGGGAGGGTTGACAGGTATCATGGTTACAGATTTTCAGTATTCAAAATGTATTGTTTTAAGTTCAACAGAATAAAGACAGAATTTTCATGTTTGGGTGAACTGTCCCTTAAACTCTAAGAGTAAATGGAAAGATGAAAATATAAAATAATTCAAAATTGTCAGCATGTTACTGTTTATTATTATTATTAATAGTAGAAGTAGTAGCATTCTTCTTCTTCTTATTATTATTATTATAACTATTTTTTTATTAATGTTTTATTTTTAAATTTTAGAGTAATTTCAGCTCTAACTCAAGTGCCGGCTAAATCCTCAATATGCAAAATCTTCAACATGCAACTCACTAGGACAATGCACAAACATAATTCATGTCTGACAGACAGCGCTACAGCTGATGCCAGATGATAAGTGATAAAAGCACATCCCATGAGATGATTGGCTGAGCGGAAGGAAAGGTGAAGTTAAACGAGGAAGGAAGAGGAGGAAGTTGCATAACTATGTTAATGTAGGAGCTAAAAGACACCGCTCAAGTTCAGCCCTGAACATTAGGGCATTACACAAGCTAATGTAATCTTATATAGGTCACCTGTACAAAATGATCGCATGTTAAGTTGCTAAAAATAATTTTTACATTTATTTAAACTATTTAAAACACATTTTGTATATTATAAATCAGGAAAAGGGAAATATTAAATGAAATTAAAGAATATTTTTTATTTTAGCTGTACTTGAAATGGCAGCATTTCTCATTTTTGTTTAGTTAAAATCAAAGCAGTACATAAGCTAAAACTAAACGTAATAAAGACGTTTTAAAACTAATCAAATTATCCTGACTCTTATTCAACAATGAAAACAATAACCAAATCAATAATACTAAAATAGCACTGCTTAAGTCACTGCAAACCAGTTATAGACTAAGATGTATTGACCTTATTCTAAAATGCGG